CTGGCTGTACGTTTGAGGAAGACTCTGACCCCACACTCTGTGAATACAGACAGGCACAGGAAGATGACTTTGACTGGCAACTTGTACGAACCTACAGCTGGCCTCACATGACTTCTGACCTTATACGAGGTAAGTCTTGTTATCTTATGCTGTAATAAACACAGCATTGCACTCTGAGCATTTCCCAGGTTTATCTGTATGTTAAATGGCACCAACTCTAAAGCTTAAGAAAACAAGCATGTATTTTTCAAATATTTCCTTAGTGTTTTATTTTGATTTATTTTCATAAAAAAAAAAAAAAAATGGACTACATTTTTACTGAGCATATCATGTATCGAATTGTGAGACCATGACTTACACTCCTAAAATTTTTTTGTCATTTTGACTTTTTTCATTCATTCGTTTAGCTTAATTTCTACAGTATATTCATTAAGGGGTCGCCACAGTGAAATAAACCGATAATTTATCCAGCATATGTTTTACACTGTGGATGCCCTTTTAGCTGCAACCCAGTACTGGGAAACGTCCCTACACACACATTCACACACATACACTACGAACCAGAGGCTTTCTTGCTCTAAGGCGTTAGTGCTAACCTCTGAGCCACGGTGTTGACGTATATTTCTTGAATCTAAAAGAAATAGTCTAGACATACAAAAATATGGTTTTGTTTTAAGAAATATGTGAGGCAGTGGAGCAGTAGGTAGTGATGTCGCCTCACAGCAAGAAGGTAGCTGGTTCGAGCCTCGGCTGGGTCAGTTGGCATTTCTGTGTGGAGTTTGCATGTTCTCCCTGCGTTCTCAACGGTTTCTTCTGGGTGCTTCGGTTTCCCCCACAGTCCAAAGACATGCGGTACAGGTGAATTGGGTAAGCTAAATTGTCCGTAAATTATTCTAATTTATTCCTAAACTGTTAATATTCTATTTGAAATAGAAAAAAGATTCATATATACCTTAAAATGTTTAAAGCATTAATCACATGGTCTCTGATTAATCTAGCAATTAGTACTTTAGCAATAATTAGTCTCTGTCTATATATAGGAAATACTATGAAATGTCCTTGCTTTGTTAAATATCACTTGGGAAATATTTGAAAATGAAATACAACTTCACAGGAAAGTTAAGAATGATGCCTTTAACTACATATATGCTCTGTGAGAAAATTATACGTTTTATGAGAAACAAATGTTTTGCAAATATAATTTTTGTGTAAGAAAGCAAATGTTTTTGTTCGGTTATTTTGCCAGAATGCTGGCAGTTTTTCATTCAAGCACTAACTTTGCAACAAAACACTATAGTTTCATAATTTCAAAATTCATGTTCTTTTTGGGGGGGATTTTCTTTCTTTCACATTTAAAGACACCGATAACTATTTTTTTTTTTCCCCCATTGAGGTTCCACAACGGTTGTCATACAGGGTAGCTTAAGTAAGAAAAGTAATAGTCCTTTTAATTATACTGTTCTATTAGTGTACTTCAGGCTGTGTCTTGCTGTTCAAGGTGTGAATTGTATGTTAACATGTTTAGAGTTTTGATGCCTTCAGCGGTAATTGCACATCTCTACAAGGTACATGGGGAGCTACAGAAGCACATACGACTTTTACTTTCTCTAATAACGGTAATCAAGTCTAAATAGTAATTTGAACAAAGTCAGAGTGTAGACGCTATTGTGTGCATTATGGGTTTTTACACATCTGAGTGCTCTCCCAGACACAGTTGTGTTTTGTTTGTGTTCAATATGGTTAGTATCCATTAATCATCTTACAGTAGGAGAAATTGTGCTATAATGTATTGGTCTGCTTTCTTGTGGTTCTATTTGGGGACTAATTAGATCTATTCTGCAATGGGATTAAATGTCCTAATGAAAACCTGTAATGGTTGCTAAATCTGATGTTCTTGACAATAGCCATTCCTGACATCATTTGACAGCAGTGGATCTTTGATTAATCCATTTCTTATCTGAGCAACTAAATGATGTTGGCTTAATAGATTAGATATATCCTTAGCATCATGGCCATAAGTGCACCTTCATAGAATGCAATCAGCCTTTAATGAAGAATTCGAGATACATGTTTGGTTCTAGAGTGGTCAATCAGTGGCATTCTTTTCTTGCATGGATGTTTTCAATAAAATTATTTTCTTTTCTACACAGCTGTTATGGCAACAGTTTTTGTTTATGCATATTTTGGCTTGTGTTTTTATTTTGCAAAATGTTATTTTTTAGGTCATTAGTTTTATTATTTGAGTTTTTTATGTAAATGTCAGATGCTCTACACTAAATCCAAATTTATCAGGATCAATCAAGTTGGAAAGGAAATCATTCTAAGCAAATAGTACACAACACACAGTGAATCTCTCCTTGATAATAATAATAATAATTCATTCATTAATTTTCTTTTCGGCCTACTTTATTAATCTGGGGTCACCTCAGCGGAACCGCCAACTTATCCAGCATGTTTTTACACAGCAGATTCCCTGCCAGCCGCAACACCCACACACACTAATTCACTCCGGATAATTAATAATAATAATAATAATAATAATAATAATAATAATAATAATAATAATAATAATAATTATTATTATTATTATTAATAGTATCATAATCATCGTAAATCATAATAATATTAATAATAATAATAATAATAATAATAATAATAATAATAATAATAATAATAATAATAATAATAATAATAATAAGTATTGTATTATTATTATTATTATTATTATTATTATTATTATTATTATTATTATTATTACTTAACAATACATATGCTTGATAACAAAACATTCATTCATTCATTCATTTTCTTTTCAACTTAGTCCCTTTATTAATCTGGGGTCACCACAGCCAAACAAACCGCCAACTTCAGAACAGTCTCTGGGAAACATCCACACACACACACTCATTCACACTCATACACTACGGACAATTTAGTTTACCCAATTCACCTGTACTGCACGTCTTTGAACCTTGCGGAAACCGGAGCACCCGGAGGAAACGCACGTGAACTTGGGGAGAACATGCGAACAAAACAACAGATATGCCAACTGACCCAGCCAAGGCTTGAACCAGAAACCTTTTTGCTATGAGGCGACAGCACTACCTACTGCGCCACCGCATCACCTGTAACAAAACATATTAAACAATAAAAAAATCTCTATACCACCGTTTCATTTCAAATTGTATTTTTGTCCATATAAAGGAAGCTACCAAATCTGTCATCAACATGTGTCAACAAAATGTTTCTTTTTTTTAGGCATAAAAAAGTCAAAAAGGTTTGCAATGGCATGCCAGTGAGTAAATATTGGTGTAGCTCTAACAGAAAAGGCAAGCTCTAAAGAATACTGATGCTTCTGTGAAACATCTATTAATTTTACTGTAATTCAAAGTCACCAATTCATATTTAATTTCCTAATGTGCAGTAATTTATACCTAATTTGTGCCTCCAAAAATATAATAGAAATTATACCACTTATTGTTACAAAGTGTGATATTAGGGTTCAAACAAACATCTGTATAAATGGCTTTTTTATAGCTGGTGTTTTTTTATTGTACTGACTGTTGAGTCTCCAACATTCTTCACATCCGGAGGAGAAAAAACAAAACAAAACATACAGGATACAAGTATGGGTACAAGAAAACCATATTTTCATTTTGAAGCGACTTACAGAATGAATGAATGAATGAATGAATGAATCAATCAATCAATCAATCAATCAATCAATCAATCAAATGAGGAAACATGCCTTTAACTTGAAATATTTTAAATAATTAACTAAACCATTTTAAATAATTAAATATTTTAAATTAACTATTGAAGACTACATCATCACCTGATTATTTGTGATATTCACAAAAAGTAGCAAATAAATAGCTATAAAGGGATTCAGTATAAACCATTTTAGTAACCTTATATTAAGCATACTGTGCTATTAAATGCACTTGCCTGGATCTATCCTTGTAGTAAAAAAACAAAAACAAATAAATAAATAAATTGATAACTTGACATTAGAAGCTTGAAGACAATCTGTGGCACTTTGTGTTGACATTTCTTTGAGTAGCCATCCAATATTGCACTTATCTGGAGGGTTAAATTCCATCAAAGCTGCTAAAGACACTCCAATTGAGACAACAGCTTAGTTTATTGGGTGCTATTTGCTCAATAATATCGATCCATACTGGGCTATGTTCAGCATGTCAATGAAGTGGAACTGAGAAAAAGAGGAAAGGTACTGTAGACCGCTGTAATGAGGGTTATATAAGCTACAAATACTGATACATACTGATGTCAACAAATCGTGTGCATTTCATTTTTTTACACTCAATTATCTTCAGGTTTTAAGCTAACCTTAATAAAGATATATATTTATATTAGTATAACTAATTGTCAGTCAGAGTCGCACCACAGACGATCGAGACTCAGAGGTTATCAAAAGCACACGCATTTATTTACACAATTACACTTACTACTCAGAAACATGACAGACAAGCATCACAGGGTATGTAGACAATACAGTACTGGACAGCTAACTAAACCAAAACAGTGGTATAAATACATAGGGAAAGACTGAGGAGATTACAAACTGATATAGGTGGAAGGTGGCAGGTAGAACTAATGATCATTAACACAGCAGTATAACAAAGGGGTCATACACGCGCACATCAGCTGCATAAAAAATATGCTCTATAAGTTGGTGGTTCATTCCACTGTTGCAACCCCTGATTTATAAAGGGACTAAGCCGAAAATAAAATAAATTTAATTAAACTACTACTACTACTACCACTACTACTACTACTAGTAATAATAATAATAATAGTTATTTTAACTCTTTATCCTCTTTATGTCCAAACTTGGTCCTGGAGGGCCGGTGTCCTGCAAAGTTTAGTTTTAACCCCAACCAGACACACCTGGACTAGCTAATCAACCTCTTACACCTGTTTCGCACTACAAGCGAAAGCATTGTGTGAGCAATGCTTGCCCATCTCTGTTTATTCAGTCTAGTTACATATCTCTCTATATATATATACAAATACACTTTTTTTAGAAACATCCCTGCAGGTGTGTTGAGGCAAGTTGAATCTAAATTCTGCAGGACACCGGCCCCCCAGGACCGAGTTTGGACACC